TTTGGTGAGCGATATGTTCGCGACATTTGGCTAGGGCATTTTCAAGGTCATGAAATTTAGACCATATCTTCTGGCATTTTGAGAGCCGATGGCGAGCTAGCGTAAAACGGATTGCAGAATTGGATCGGACTCAGTTTCGACCCCCTAGAGCCGTTTGCCTCATCTCCGTATCTTTCATGGTCGTGAAAATATCCCGAGTCAGATATCGTTACATTTCTGATAATACAATTTCTGATTCTACTCCAGTGGTGATCAGACCCGAGGTGATCAGAGCCACGCTGATCAGAAACGTGATCAGGAATCAGGATAAAAAACATCAGAAAAGGTGTTCGAAAAAGCATCAGGTTTTTTTCTGATCCTCTATTTTCTGATCCAGTAAGTGATCAGCGCTAGGTGATCAGAAAATCCTGATCCCATTTACACCTGTGAAATTGTACTCATACCTATTAGGTAACACACATACAAAGGAATCAAGTTTAACAACTTTTGAGAGATCATTAATATTCACCAACACAAGAGTATTTGTGTCAGATACAGGGATAAGGTGGGTAACTTGACAGCGAGTAGCTAAATTATAAAAAAACCTACTATGGTCTACAGTTAGAGCTTCAAGAACAGCAAAGACATTGTTTTCAGAACCACTTGAAAAAAAGAACCTAATTTTACCATAGTGAGTACATCCATTTTTCGAGTATTTAACACAATAGTTGATCCGTTTCTTTTCCCGGAAGTAGTTCATTGAGGTGAAAGTAATATTATTTTTCAAAGTAGCTCGAGAGAATATTTTGAAGGGTTGCTCCAAGTCAACAGAGTTTAAAAAATCATGGTCAAGAGTAGACAACTTGTCAATGTGCAACTCGCCTGCAAGTTTCAAGTTGGTTTCAGCCCCTGCAAATTTATGAACACGAATACTGCCCCGCAACACTTCAACACCATGAGATACACGAAGCAAGTTAACAAGCTCTTTTGCACGGTTCTTGGTGCCATGTATAATTTTACCCAGAATACCATTGAAGTTTTCAAATGGAAAGGCCGAGGTTGCCCAGAGCGGGCCCCATCGTCTTACATATAAACAAAGATGGATTAATTGATGACAGTTATAGGTGTAATTCACTGGCCCATACAACCTACCAATGTCTTGAACAAAAGCCTTGATCAATGTTTCAGCTTTTGTCAAATCAGTATCTGATATTTTTTCTTGAAGAAGCAACCAAATGGCAACAACTAACAACATCCAGTGTTGAGAATAAGCTTTAGGTAAAAACTGAACAATTATTGGCAAAGAATAAAACAATAAGAATGCTCGTAGTTCACTAGCCTCCCAATTGCCAAGTTCTGAAGCATCTCGAGGAAGTCTGTTAATACAATCAGGTGGCTTAATATTCTTCATTGCCGAATCTATTTCTTCAATGTTGTTTCCCAAATACCAAGGACCTATCACAGTTGTCCATAAAGTAAGGAAATGCCTAACTACTCCAAGGCAGATACCGTGCATGTACTCTGCATAGACACAGGTACTAAGGTCCAAAGAAGGGATTTGCTCAACAACAGAGGGACCAACAACACCACTGAATCACCTACGAGATAAGCCTTTCTTGCCTGCTTGGTCATTCTTCTGGCTGTCCGCAACTTTGCTGGTTGCCTTTTAAACAAAAACCCTCGCCTCTTTTTAATTTTCTTGTTGCCTAGTCTTTTTTCTCTAAGTTGTGCTCTGGTAAGTGGAATGCTGTCAGATTTTTGCTCACAGGTGTTGCATGCTTCAATAGCACCATGAGACTTAATATTCTGAATCTGAGCACGTACAGGGGCGTCTGCGCAGGCCAGAGGACCAATGACTGAAACTTGATGAACAACTTTAGATATGGGATGAACAAATGAAACTCCACCTTCTTCATCAATTTCTTTCAGAGCAGCGACAAATGGGCGAAGCAGAGTATTCATTGGGGGAGGCACTGGCTCACACCAAACACCAATAACAACCATGAATCGAGATCGCAAGTTGGGAGGCACTTCACAAACAGTAGCTAAAATGGGATACAAATGACATTTTGAGCTTCTAGAGAGAGAAACACCATCAGTATTCCATTTGAGAGTAATCCTATACCTATTGTTCACTATACACCTTTTATACTCAGTCCCATCACATATATCAGAAATGCAACTGTCCTGAGACTTTGCTTCACACTCTTGCCCGTATTTGTCAATGATATCAGCAAAATTATGATGCTCAAAATAAAACTTGATTTGTTGCTTCAGGTCAAATAAATAAAACTTACGAACAGAACTTGTTTGACATGATGGACAAGGCTGATCGAGTGTACTTCTATAAAGCAGGCACTTTGAACAACAATAAAATGTGGAGGCTTCATAAGATGGAGCCAAATCCTTTAAAAATTTAAATAGAAGATAAATTGACTTGGGCATTGTGTGCCCAGATGGGAGATACTTGACGAAAGTAGCCAAATGGTCTTTGAGACTTGTCTGGGATTCCTTATTGTTCAAAAAGTCGTCTAGTAAATCTAAAATGGCCTCTTCTCGGGAAAACTTGCAGCCGATGTAAAGAGGTGTGAATGCTTCACTTTCATCTTCGTCACTGCCATTGAACTGTAATTCTTCATCGGAGGCATCATACCATTCTTCACCATCCTCAGGGTCCAATTCACTTGCATAACTTACGTCAGATGGTTGGCCTTCTGATTCAGAATCCCCAGGTGGGACATCACTATCACTGCTGGAAGGGATGTCATCAGAATCACTACTGCTGTCACTGTTTTCTTTTGCATTGTCTTCCACATTGTCTTCCACATGGAGGCGTTCATCACCATTCCCATCAAGTAGCCCTTGGTTCTGCCAGCGACGTGCAGTTGATATGGAAGGCTAAAAATAAAAAAGCACCAGTAATTCTGCTGATACGATTGCGTGACGTAACTCAATTTTTCCCCAGTGCGAAACAGGAAATGAAAACTTCAAAAATAACATGGGGTGATCAAAAGCAATCGGATTTAAGTCTTAAATGAAAGAAAGGTCATTACTTTCGAATGGTTGTGCCTGACATACCTGAGAGTTTCCATCACGAAAGGAATAAACCTGCCACTTTCGCCTCTTCGGAGGCGGACTTGGTTCATGCAAGGGAGGCGATGACGGTGGACTAACTGGAACAGGAGATGAGGCTGGAGACCTTGAGGATGATGGTGAGGACGACATCGTGATCTGAGGATAAGGTCGCTCGTTTCACCTGTAATAATATGTACAGTTGTAGATGGAAACCAAGGAAAGGTGTATGGAGTTCACTCCAAACTTTATCACACGGTTAACTTACGTTATTTATGTTAAAACAGCTACGAAATAGACGTTGTTTTCCTCCAAGCAAGCGCGGCGCATACACTCTACAAAAAATGTCCTGTCAACGCCGTTAATTTATTACCAATGTTTGCTGTTATGCAATTCACGGCGTTTGCTGTGAACTAGTTCACGGCGTTCACTGTGATCTCGGTTACAGTGTTCACTGTGATCTGGCCACAGTAAACGCCGTGAATTGGAGCCTGATTTGCAGTACTTCGGTGCTTAGCGGCGTCAAACTCACAGTGTTTACTGGGGACCAGATCACAGTGAACACCGCGAACAAGATCACAGTGAATCCCGTGAGCAGATCACAGTAAACGCTGTGAATTGACCGACAGTGAAAACTGGTAATAAATTAACGGCATTTACAGGACATTTTTGGTAGAGTGTAGGTTAAAATACACACATGGCAGTGCTACATAAATATGCTGGATAGGCTGGAGACCTTGAGGATGATGGTGAGGACGACATCGTGATCTGAGGATAAGGTCGCTCGTTTCACCTGTAATAATATGTACAGTTGTAGATGGAAACCAAGGAAAGGTGTATGGAGTTCACTCCAAACTTTATCACACGGTTAACTTACGTTATTTATGTTAAAACAGCTACGAAATAGACGTTGTTTTCCTCCAAGCAAGCGCGGCGCATAGGTTAAAATACACACATGGCAGTGCTACATAAATATGTCTGACATTGATACAGCCTACAGCAACGACGTAAACTCCAGCCGCCATTTTCTTCTAGGCCGTATCGCATGTTCATGTGGGTAATTTCGCCACAAAACGTTTCAGCCCATGTTTTAGTTCAATTTGACAAGTTTCCTTGCTGCTGTCGCAGTCACCACCGCCGCTTAACGAACACCGTTTCTGACCAAGGTTTCGCGAGATGCCCGTAGAGGGCGCCTCAATCGTTACAGTGGCAACCTTACAGCGATGCAGTTACTTTCAGTAAGCCCCGAATAGAGAAACACAAGTCATTCTGGGCCATAAAATTTCAAAAATAGAAAGACTAGACACTTTTCGGCCGATCAAGCTCCAGAAGTACAAATGAAAAACCTTATAGGCAAACTGTATATTATTTGCAATGTTGGTATCAGTCACATGACGTCATCTTGTGCGTGCGGTGCCGGCGAACGAGCAGCTGATCGCCAGCTGATCTGTCAGTGTCGTTTTAGGCTCTTCAGTCTACGTTTCTCTCCAGTTGACTTACCGTGACCCCAGTGGACCGGCAAATTTCGGCTAATCCAGCTTCATCATGCTTGAATACGAGTACTTCGTGCTCTTTGGAGAAGATGAGCATTATTGCGTCGTTCACTGCTCGGATGTTATCTGTGACCATGGCAGTGTATCCAAAGGAGACAGGGTTATGTTCATCTGGAACAAGGACACTGTGGGAAAATATCACAGTAAATCCTGTAGTGATTAGTACAGCTGTCACTGTAGTTCAGAGGACAGGATTTACTGTACTTTTTTAACAGGATCTACTGTACTTTGTACGGGATTTACTGTACCACAGGGGTGGAGTACGGAATATCCTGTACCAGGTACAGTAGATACTGTAGCCAGGCACGGTAAATCCTGTGTTCTGAACTACAGTAAATCCCGGCAAAAAAATTAACGGGATTCACTGTGGTTTTTTCGCACAGTGGAGGAGATCGCTGGTATCGTCCAGCACATGTCTGGTGAGTAACGCACCTGCCCAATTTGACTCCCAACTTGGTTCCGATCCACTCGCACCTTGCGTTGCGTGTGTGCTGGCCTTCGTAGAAGTTTGTTTTGTTATGCCAGCAGCAGTCCCCGTAGCCCCCATAACCTCAATCCCAACATTGCTGAAGTCCAATTTACACTCTTGTTATTCTGTTTACAGATGACTACGACGAATGTACCAGAGTTGCTCGCAAGCTAAGCAAAGCTTTAACGAAACCCAGAAAAGAGGACAGTTTTGATGAAGGAAAGCCCCGCAAGAGTGCTGCGAAATTTTTGAGCACCCTTTCCAAGTTGAAGCCCCATCTTCAACCTTCTCCTGTGAAGAAGGCGAAGAAATCGTCAAAGGTATTTTCTATTTTCTCTCCTGGTAGGAATGTATTACTTCCTACTTAACTTGTACTTCTTGTTCAAGGTCTCTAGAGTGAAGGATGTACTCACGGCTTCAAGGAGGAATGCAGAGGCTCTTGATCTCTTGAGCACCACCTCTAGAACCACGAAAGGTTTATCCAACTTTAAAGCTACTTCATCTCCAGATCTCGTGAATGACGATATGGATGGTCACTTTTCTGATGCATCACTTCCATCAACTGTCGTAAGTACTTTCAATTTTAGAGTCTTTCATTGCGAGGAAATGCCGAAGTCTTAAATTGTTTTGCCTTGCAGGGAGCTTCAGAATCTGAATCTGAAGAAGATTTTACGAAGCCCTCTCTTAGTAGAAAGAAGCTTGAGCAGCAACTTGCTGCAATGCAAGAAAGGATAAAGCAGGTTTGTGCACATTTACATACTATTTGGCGTTTATAATCTTTTGGCTGCCTTTCCATGGCACATTACTAATACCTGCCTTTTCCTTCAGCTTGACAACAAGAAGCTCCGGCATGCTTCCAATGTTCATTCTACACCTTTATCGTCTAAGAACTCCCCACATCGTTCTGACTCTGATAATGGCTCCAGCCGATCCTCTTCCTTCAACAGAACATTGGGGGCAACATTTGGTGCCCTTTCAAGTAAGGGTAAGAAGTATGAGGGTGAAATGCTACGTTACACAGAGGCCTCTGAGGTACAGTCTATCTTACTTCTAATGATGTGTTTGTAGTGTTGTAACTGTTAAATTCATGTTTAAATTGGTTATGTCTGTGTTTTAGGAGGCAGTAGAACTTGAAGGACCAGAGAGTGGGCAGAAAACTGGAATCTACTGTTGCCGGGATAGCTTTGAATGTGCGCAAAGCGGTAACAGTTCCACAGTTTGTGCGAGGCGTTTGCTCACGGGTGTATTCACGGAAAATGCCCTACGAGACTGTTGCCTCACTGGCCTTCCTCCACGGGGCAAGGGAAAAGCAGCCTACATCAACAAGGAAAATGTAATTCGGCCATACCTTTGCCCCAAGGCCTCAAGAGCGATCGTGAGTAAGTATGTTTCAATTATAACGCTGTGATATTTTTAATTGGTCTGCTTCAGTGACTTTGATTTTTCCTTTCGCAGATCAAGCCTTATACTGGCAGAAGAAAAAGTATTTGCGTCCGAGAAAGGATTCCACTCAAATTAGAGCAGCAATGTCCATTCGTATTTGTGAGATTCATAAGATGAATGATGTATGATCTCTAAATGTGTTTTCTAGAGTTCTTTGTGAGATTCGTGACATGTATGATCTCTAAATGTGTATTCTAGTGTGACTAAGTGATTTTATGATCTCTAAACGTGTTTTCTAGTGCTACACTCAGTGCCATATTATTGCATTTTATTGTGCTAGTTGTATTTTTATTGTGCTAATGTAAGCTTATGTATGTGTATATGTACCTAATATACGGATGAATTATCAGATGGTAATTTGCGAATCTTTCCATGCGAACCCTTCCATTTGCCCTCTTTACCTGAATATGAACTGTATTTGCCCAAATTAAATGCCTCTATGATTATATTAAAAAAGGTCCTAATTTGCATTTAGTAAAGATTTAACTAAGATTTAGTAAATTGAACAGATTAATACAAATTAAATACAGATTAAAACAAATTGAAATGAGTCTAACTGATGGGGACAATACATATACCTCCACTCCGTGAAGAGGTGACATTTTCTCCCAACCAGCCAATACAACAAAATAGGATCACTGGACCCACAACATTTCCTCCACAAAGGGTACTGAACATGGCATCTGAATATAGTCACATTAAATTTAATATGAATGGTCATACTCAACTCAATTAAGCTTAAGTCATATCAAATAAATACTTAATTTAAAACAAATATGGGGTTAAATTAAGAACTAATAAAATATTTTTCCAAGGGCTTTCGAGAATAGCCATTCCTCATCCGTGTAGCCTCCCTTTGATTATGAGGGGCTGACTTGATGTGCCTGGTAGGCAACGCACGTGCACGCTTGCACTGTAAAAAAATGTCCTGTCAATGCCGTTAATTTATTACCAGTTTTCACTGTCGGTCAATTCACAGCCTTTACTGTGATCTGCTCACGCGATTCACGCTGTGATCTTGTTCGCGGTGTTCACTGTGATCTGGTCCACAGTAAACACTTGAGTTTGAGGCCGCTGAGCACCGAAGTACTGCAAATTAGCCTCCAATTCCACGGCGTTCACTGTGGCCAGGTCACAGTGAACACTGTGACTGAGATCACAGTGAACGCCGTGAACTAGTTCACAGCAAACGCCGTGAATTGCATAACAGCAAACATTGGTAATAAATTAACTGCATTGACAGGACATTTTTTTACAGGTTGCCTATCCGGACTTTCCAGGCGCTGCTGGCGGGTGGTTTGCCTTCGCACGCAGAGCGGGGAAGTAGAAGTTGACCAGTAGAGACGGCTGCGCAGCGCAGACAAGAACCCACACCGCCATCTCAAATTTATTATATTTTCTGATGACCTCTCTCCCCTCCCCCCCCCCCCAAAAAAAAAGGAGTTTCGTCTGAATCGGAGGGATGAAATTCCCAGCGTATCGTTGGTTTGGTATGGAATCGCTCACCTCAATCCCGGCTCTGAGAAAGTGCACGTGAGTGGCCGTTCACGGCACGCCAGCGCCTTTGGAAAACAGTGCAGGCAAGCTCGGACAACGAGCGCAGGCGTCAACCTTTTGCAGGCGTCAAGGAAAACCGTCGTTAAATGGCAAAGCTTCCACGTAAAAACTGTTTCCACGTGGTGTTTTTTCCGCACATTTACTAATGAATGCATCGCTCAGCCATTTACGCAGGCCATCGAAAGCACGCGTTCTCCTAGTTTACATGAGTGAATTTGGCACTCCATATATGGCACTAGCTCTTGGCGCTGCCGGTGTTGAGGAAGAACTGCACGAAGTTGTACCACGCCTTGAGTGCGTTGAGGCAGGAACGTCGATTTAGGTTCCCGATGCCGAGGCCCCGCAGCCGGCCCGCCACTCCCAGCGAGGAGGTCATCATGTGGAGGCGCACGCGCCGCTCGGGAGGTTGTTCCTGCTTGGGCAAGGCATCAATGGACTAATAGGGTACTTCGGAGAAGGCGGAGATTGGGACGAAATCAAGAAGCATAAAGTATGCGAAATACGTAACAATGAGCGTCTACGTCGCCTTTCCTCACTGTGGGAAAATATCACAGTAAATCCTGTAGTGATTAGTACAGCTGTCACTGTAGTTCAGAGGACAGGATTTACTGTACTTTTTTAACAGGATCTACTGTACTTTGTACGGGATTTACTGTACCACAGGGGTGGAGTACGGAATATCCTGTACCAGGTACAGTAGATACTGTAGCCAGGCACGGTAAATCCTGTGTTCTGAACTACAGTAAATCCCGGCAAAAAAATTAACGGGATTCACTGTGGTTTTTTCGCACAGTGCTTTCGGCCGCTTCCGCAGAGTTATATTCTCATACAATTCCGGCGTTTCTTCTTCTCGATTTCTTCTCAACTCCAGCTCCTCTCCGAAGTACCCTATTGGCCAAGTCAACGAACACTTTGAAAACCATGTCAGGGATCGTAACGCCCAAGGCCAAGTTTGTCTCAACCGGCGCCTGCCAGACTGCTGTTAGTTACACGCACCCACTCGTAACAAAAGCATGATAAGGGCGAACCAGCGCCAATAAGCGGCGCGCAAAATGGACCATTGACCATTTCGCTCATTTTTTGCTCAAATGTTACATCCCCACAGAATGCCAGCTCTCTAGGTCAATTATATAGGAACTGTGAGCAATCAAAGTTTTGGGCTTTTGTCCTATGCTCGTTTTTGACCAAATTGCACACACTAAATGTCATGGGACTGTTTTCGTCCCACGATTTATGCAATTTTAAGCACATCCGACGCTGATACAATTTTGTTGCCGTCTGGAGACACATTTTGTCCGACGCCTGCCGCAAATTGTACTTTCACTAGACAATTTGTCCCGCCTGGCGGCCACAAAATTGCATCACCACCGGATGTGCTTCATTCATGGGACAAAAAAAGTCCTGGCGATACCCCCCTGCAACAAGCAACTATCTACGCCCACTGTCTCGATAACCGACTATCTACGCGCGCTCTCCCGACAACCGGCTATCTACACGAGCTGTCTGGATAACCGTCTATCTGCTTTCTCCACCTCGCGAGATTGAATGCTTTTATTTATCGAACCAATTAAGTTGCCCTCGCAAAACCTTTACCAAAACTTGTCAAAAGTTTGTCAAAGCAAGATTAAGTATGGTTTAAACGGGTCGCTTTAAGTGTCATGGAGAAAAATACTTCGTTATACGACAACCCTAACCTCGCTACGATGTTGGATAGTCGGTTATCCAGACAGCCCATGTAGATAGCCGGTTGTCGGGAGAGCGCCCGTAGATAGTCGGTTATCGAGACAGTGAGCGTAGATAGCTGCTTGTTGCAGGGGAGTATCGTATGGCATGTAGTGTGCATATTTTCACTTACATACTCCGGGATTCTGTTCATGAGAGTTCAGGGTGATGAAAATTGGTCCGTCTAAAAGGGAAATTGAGAGAGAAATCCGAC